TCTCTTCCATTTAAGAAATCTACGTGTGAGTTTGAGAAAAGCAACAAAATATTCTCAATCAACCTTTAAAAAAAAGGTAAAGTGTCAATAGCTTGCCAACACATTTTCCATTCTAACTCTGCTATAACAAATGGATTAATTGTTGGGTAATTTAATCAGATGGCTTGCTGATATAATCTGAGCAAAAACTTGATGTGTGTCCAGCACTTGAAAAATCGGTATGGCTTTTTCAGCTATGAGAAGTCTGTCCAGATGGCCCTAGAATGAAGGATAGTATTCAAAACGTTGTTCCCAGAGGATTGGCCAGCTGTATCTAACATGGAAATGCTTCTGTGAATTTTTAAAAAAACATTAAGTATAATGGGGAATACTGGAGAGAGCATTAAAATGTAATCCATTCACAATTTAGAGTAATTGACTCAGTTGGCAGGAGCTGTCTGAAATTAGTTTTTTAACAGGCACAACTGCTAACACATCTATCTCATACAAACTACATCTATAGAACCTAAGATGCTAACTTTTTGGAAATTGCACTTCAGTTTGTTCTTTACAGCTAACACCCTTCTTGGCATTATTCAGAAATTCGCCACTTGCAACAAAAAGGCCTTTCTAAAGTCCAACATTTATTATTCTACTGAGAAACATTTGAGGTTACTTTAAATCTGTTTAAACAGAGATAAATATAGTCAGGGGGCAACAGTCAGGAGCAGAAACCCAAACACCAACATTTGTAGCGAGAAGACATTTTGGATGAGCATTTTGTAACAGGCTTGCGCAAGAGCTGGAAAAATGAATCAAGTCTCACACATTAGAAGCAGCATGTGTCACTTTTTATATCCCTATGAAGCTTTTATGTTTCACATTATCATCTTCCTGGAGTTCACCCATACTCTTCATAGCAGAATTTTGTACCGCCATCTGACAAAACTGTATTCAGTCCAAGATTATAGTCTTTCACATCTGCCAAGGGCTGAAAGTGCAGTGAGAGAGAAAACTGAATCCTTGAAGCTTCCCACAGCAGCAAAGAAGCAAATTTAACAGGGCCCCAAGGAAGACCCATTAAGCCTTCATCACGCATCCATCAAAAAGGTGATCATAATCTAGACTTTACAGGCTGGAATGGTACTAAAGGAAAAGCAAATAAAACAATTCTGAGGATTTCCATCAAGATAGACAGAACGGCCAGGAAGGGAAGAAAAAAAAAAAAACCAACAAACATTTTAGTGGCCATAGCTACACTGAAAAGGAGAAAAAAAATCTTGAGACATGATAACGTAATCACATGTCATATCAAAATGTGTTCCTACTGTTATTTCTTACAATACAGGACTCATTCTATCACAAATAAAAGCTGTATGAGAGTTTTGTTTGGTTTAAGTGTTCATACAGTGCTTAGATTTCTTTCCTTCTTCCAATTTTCAAAGCTAGACCTTGTACTTTATTTTAAAATACTTGTTTAATTTTATTTGCAGAAATTGAAGACAGACTAAAGAATTTCAAAAGCTGCTTGTAGATAAGAGCAAATTAAAAAAAAAAAAAAGCTGCAAAATCTAACAGAAAAAAACATGATAATCTACAACTATGGTCCCGATTAATTTATTTTAGTGCCATTCTTGCCTGTTAACATAAATATGTATATTACTAGAATAATTCATTCACACACATAGCACCATCAAAAACAATTTTTATGGCACAAGTGATTTAGATTAATTCAGATGCAGCAAACAGTTTTTCTTATGCTTTCCTTCACTTACATTGCTTCATGGAACAGTTTTGTTAAACAAAATTTAAGATGATGCGGTTTTTACTGTAAGATGGTGCCAGTAGACTAGGCAGGCTCTATCCACTAGACAGTGCTAATTGCAGGAAAACACTGAAAAATAAAACTGACTAGTGACTATACCAGTGGAGGCGGCTGTTAAGGAAAGTGTTTTTCTGCCAGTAGGTGTTTCCTAATAGATTTAGAAATCCTTACGGTCTATCACTTTAGAAGGAACAATATTTTGCTCTCAATGGCAATGAGAATGATAGGGTTATTCAGCCTTAGGGAGGGAAGGAAGAAGGAGTAGCTCAATATTCTTTCAAGTCCTGGAAGTTTTTCAGGATGTTCACAGGTGGAGTAGAAAGTGAGAAAATAATAAGATTAAAATAATTTAAAGTTTCATTAATTCAGTGGTTTTCTTTGGAGTAATAAGTAAAAGAATCCTGCTTCTCTTCTTTCCCATCTCACGTCGACATAGAAGTCCTCCATAAGGTACACGGCAGTGTATCTGGAAATTGTCTTCAAAACAGTTCAGAACATGAATTACACAGAGGTACTGGGTTTCTTGATCTCCTAACAATTACTTCAATTATTAGGTGTGTGACAACCTGGGGTTTATGATGGAGCACTGTATTGGCAAGTAGAGAAAACCACAGTCAGGAGTTCTGTCTGGAGGGAATTTTGGAAGCCAGAGTAAGCAAAAAAATAACAGGAGTACAGGGACAGTCTTTGGCTTCTTCCCAGCACTTATCAAAAGTTTTCCAAAGAAAGCATGGAAATTTCTTTACTGTATGCTTAATTAAAAAAAAAAAAAAAGGCAAAAAAAAAGCTTTAACAGCTGTGTGTATATGAGGCTTTAAGACTGTGCTTTCTACAGTGGCTTTGCTCCCGGAAGCCAAGAAAATTACTTCGGCAGTCAGAGCAAATTCAGACAACTGCATGATTTTAATTAAATCCTTTGATAAAGCTAGTGAATATTTTTTCCTAATAAAAGGTTCTAAAGTTACAGAAAAATTCAATAGGTTCCTGAACAGTAAGTGTGGAAAATTTGGAGACTAAATCAATCAATAAGCTAGGAGTTAAGGGGATTTTAGTCATCCTGCCTTATATGAAAAATCTTAGTGCAGTTTCAGCTACACAGTTTCTGTGGAAAGCCTCATCAATATTGGTATCCAGTGCACATATTATCCCACATGAATGCCACTGACATACATTAAAGAACTGTCATGGCAAAACAGGGAACATAAACGTGCTGATAGTAGGAAATATTCTTAACGTGGAGAAGGTGTGGGTTTTTTAAAATTTACAATGATTTTAAACAACTAATTGCTACAAATACGACTGCCAAGCATTCTTATCATGACCTTACTTTGGAGAATTTAAAAGAGGTGCTCGTACAGCCTTGATTCTTGAATGGCTGACCTGTGAACGTCTTGATATACTCAGAATTAATTTGAAGATACTTCCAGCATGTCATATAGTTTATTCTTCTGCATTGATTTGCTTACTGTGATCTGAAAGCAGTATATCTACAGAGACAGTGCAGCAAATTGAGAAATAACTGTCCTATTTATATGAATATGGTGCATACTTATAAGTATGCTTATCATGTCTTGCTTCCTAAGAAGGTGGATGAAAAGATGCTCCTAAAGGAAACACCAGGAGTGGCAAAACAATGCCAAAGTCACTCAGAAAAAGGTGAAGCTAGTCTTTGTGGAATGCCTGGTTTTGCCCTCTCAAGGTCAAGCTAAGAAGACAGAGACACGCACTTACTCCAGAGGATCTGAACACAAAAAGGCAAGACCCACATTTATCCCAGCTAATTTTATGCACTCAGATGATGTACCTAATGATGTACCATTTTTCCTTATTAGGGGACACATACATCTTTAAAAAGCTGTTTTGCCTGCCCAAGGTCTGAGCTGTCCTCTACAGACATCTGTCTCTCTTACTGCAAAAGGAATAAAGGGTGTCTGCGCTGCTGCTAAAGTACTCTGGCTAGTGGGACAAACGGTCACTGTGTGCTATGAAATTTGGGAATAAGAGACAGGATGGCAAAACCAAAGAGCTAGATACAAAAGAAGCAGAAACTGCTGAAGAGCAATTGACTTCTCATGCCTCCAGAAATTGAGGCAACTATTCTCTGAAAGGAACACAAACACGAAAAGAAGGCTATGATCACACAGAACAATCAGGAACATAGATGCAGACCTAATTTTTTTTCACCATCCAATTTGTAAGGTCTCTAGCTGAAAGTTTGTCTTGATGAAAAAAACCTTGAAAGGAAAGAGCTTATTAAAGTAAATATAAATCAGGCCTGTCATGCTAATGTAGCTGCGAAACGTTTCTACACAGCCTACAGTTCTACCCAAAGGGAAGGCGAAAAAGCCGAAAGTGCCCTCAAGGGACATGAAGTTATCAGAGACCCAGATAACTTCTGCCCTATAACCATGGCAGACAGCAATTCCAAAAAATCTCTGTAGAGCTTGTTTACATTGTCAAATGTATCTGCACTTGAGTGCTAAACGCTGAGCTAGTACAAAGCAGTGTAGCTTTGCTGCTTGTAAATGAGCTGTATCATTTTACACAGCTGACTGTCCGGGTATCATAAAAATTTTACATATTACTGGATGTGACTGTTCTAGCTATAAGTTGCAGCAACTTCCCTCTCAGTTTCTGATCCTGTTTCCTTTACGGTGGTTTGAGCTCGTCCTCTAAACAAACATCCTCATTAACAGATATTAAATTAATTCATGAGCAGAGTTGATGCAGAAGAGGCTCATGCACACAACACAGAAAACAGCGTAAATATCTGTAATTGCCAGTGAATTTGGCAGGAAACAGAGATGGTGCAAAATACATTGTCTTACTGCCTGCTGACCTGTTAAAAGTGCTTCTTCCTGTTATAAGAAATCCTTACAACGAACGAAAGTGGATTTCATCTCAACATGTTGAATTCTCACAGTGTATTTCTCAGGTTGAGTGCAGAAGTGCTTCATTTTAGATACAGATCTGTCTCTTTCAGTTACCAGTGCAGACTACAAAGCATTTTAGTAATGCCATGTGTCAATTTAGCTTGCTAAGATATCCTAATTGGCTCTTTTTTAACTTCAGTGATGGCAGGAAAAGAAAGATGTGCTTAGCAGTCATAAGTATTTATGCCTTGGCACTATTAAAGTGCCTAGCCAGCTCTTTGATTGAATGTAGCTCCAGAAGGTTTGAAGTTGACATATAATACCTGTTTTTAATGTGCTGGGGAGAACCAAGACACTTGAAACTTCCATTGACCATAATAGCCAGCCGTGTGCAGAGGGCTTCACATTCTTCCATACTACTGGGGAGATTAAAAGAATAATAGTAAAAACAGAGAACTTTACTTATACTTAACTTTAATTAAAGTGGAAGGAATTTGGACAGCTGCAAAAATGGGTACACAAAACCTTTGACTTTAAAGTCAACAGCCCAAATTGTAACCCTAGTCAGTACACGACAAAAGTTATTACCACATGACAGCTCGAAGAGAACCTTAAAATGGAATTTATGTTTTTAGTCCAGAACTAATTGGACAATTCTGGCCACAACACAAAGGTTTTATTACCACAGGCAAATTCCTGATAGGCAGTCTCAGAAATACCACTGAGTGTGAGAGCCACAAACTCTGTTATTCCCTGTAATATCTCTTTGTGGTCATTCTCAGCTAAAGGATAGAGGGAGAATAATGAAGTAAGTTTGCTCAGCTTACCTCTTGCATATTACCACATGTCCTTAAAAAGTTGTTACCCTTAGTCTGATAAAATACAAAACATTACAATGCAAATAGAATTCAGGACATGCAAATGCAGCTGAATAGAAAAGCAGGATCCTGTTAGATGCAACTGCTTCAGATGATAAATAATAACTTTGATTTGTAAAGCTTAGGGCAGACGGGCTGCTGTTCTACATATTATACAGAATTGTGTGAGCAGTTCTTCCAAAGCATCGCTTTAGCCATAGGACGTTGGTTGGGACGTATCCATCATCTCAAAGAGTCAAAGTTATTTGATGTTCCTGCAATTCACTGTGTGTGCTCCCCAGCTCTTCTGAGATTGATAAACAAGAGTTATCTCGTGTGCCTCAGCCATTTGACAGTCCAAATTAAAGTGCTTTTACTGAACAAGCATGGCAATTAAGTACCCTCCTAGGAACAATTTCCTTAAAATAGGACAGGGATATGGTGAGAGCTGCCAAACCACTATATTTGAGACATGGAGAGAAGGCTTCCTAACACATCTTTCCACAAATCAGGAAGTTAGCTGAGTCTCTTTGGGGTGCAGTAACTCCTAATGCTCCCCTTGGCATAAGACACCCCAGCTGTGGCAAAGTAAGACAAATTTAGGCCTGTATGGACAGTCAATACAATCTCACTCATCCCCCCCAAAAACAAAAGTTAAGCATTGCCTCTGAAAATGAAGTAAACAGACCTCATAAACTAATTTTATACAGGAAATCATCTCTATACTTTATGCACTTATTTGCTGATATGCATGAAGATTCAGTTCATAAGAAAATTCCTTTACTTATACAAGTAGCCTTTGAAAGAATTTCAACTAAATCTCCAATGACCTTCTGCAAATAGTATAAACAGTATAAAATAATTTCTCCTTCCTCCACCCTGGCACAACAATGTTTTATTAATTAGAAATGAAACGTGTACACTACCACTGCACTTACATCTGCTTCAAGTCATTAATTTGTAAAGCTAAATGAATAATTACTAACAATTTGATGGATTTTTTTGTTTGTTTGTTTGGGTTGGGTTTTTTTTTGTTTACAGCATATTAGTAATGAGACCACAGACCCCTTCTGTTTAGCTGGTGTTTGACAACTAAGTGTTCTTAATCTGGACTGAAAAGTCAAAGCACACTGCTTCCTGAAAATCACTCAACTTAATTCACAATGCATAACTTGTGTTCCCTAAATAAGTGAGCTGGTAAGCACTTGGGGATCAAATACAGGTGCGTGATTTTCAAGATTCAGCTTCCATAAATAGAATAGTAGACACTTTTGAGAGCATTTTTCCATCAGTAATGTAGCCCACACATGCACAGGGACAACAAATACATTTTGAGAACGTCTGAAAAGAACAATATCTAGAAAATATTGAGGGAAGTTTTGCTCCATTCTTTTATTGATTCATCTATGCTTCAAATCTCATTCAGCTAAAATCGCAGAATCATAGAACCATAGAATGGTTTCAGTTGGAAGAGACCTTGAAAATCATCTAGTTCCAACCCCCCTGACATATTGTAAGTAGTACATTGCTGTTTTGATTAATGAGTTCTGTCCTGTCTGGGCAGGTTTTCATGATCTCTCCCTCACTTAAAGACATTTTATATATAATTATATGTACTATACTATATTGCCTAAAAGGAACATATAATTTATTCCATTTTACTATAGATGTTACAAAACAGTGTTGATGTTTCATCCATTAAACTCATATACCAATGACCATATCAGAGCCTTGACAAGATATTTTATGTAGATAGACTCTTCTAAGAGAACGTGGTCACTCCTACCATTTCCAGTAGTGCTTACAGAGAATAGCTGAGGCATCTGTCTTTAGGATGTCATGGCATACTCTCTTCATACACTGATGCAAAACAGAATCCTTAATAAAATCAGAAGAGAGTTTTTCACTCCCACCTCCTTATGTAAGGCTTTATAAAGTGCGCAGCTGCAAAAGGATAACCTAGTGTTCCAAACAAGAGAAACTGCAACAATGAATAGAAAGACCATAGAAAAGGAAGAATACATTGCATCATTTTTGCTGTGCCTGTAGCCTCCTTGAGCCACAGTCTAACCCTTGAAATTAAATATAGATAATATTGAGGATTTACACAAGTTCCATTTTCACAAGAAGGAAGGAATTGCCATAAAATATGAAGACATATTCCGTGTTTCATACCAGAATAAGCATACCTTCAGAATACGTTCTGCTTTCAGCTGGCAGCAGGTGAGGAGAGAGGACAGGAATATGATGACTGCTGGGATTAGGGTCTTACCTGTGGGATGTCAGCACAGCTGCACAGCCATCCTGAACTTCCTTCAGAATGGTTTTCCAAAGGTAGCGTTTAGAGCAGGGATCCATCCCAGAGCTGGGCTCATCCTACAGGAAAAATGAAAATGATGATACAAAAGCATAGGAAAAACATAACGCAGTTCCAGTCCAGCGTGAAGAATTTTAAAAAGCTAGCAATAAAATCATATCTTTTTCTCTAAAAAAGCTACATATTCAAGAAGTCACTTAAAGGACACCCTGATCAGTTTTGTGCTTTAACACAAATAGTTTCATTCCCAAATTTATAGGTAGTAGCTTTTATTAAAAAAAAAAATATATATATACAAATAATATGTTTATATATTGTATAATAATACAATAAATACAATATTATTTATAAATATACATATATATCATAGAATCATAGAATTGTCTAGGTTGGAAGATGTCGTCGTAGAGACGGACACGACACTCAATATCCAGTTACAGCAATCGTCCTCCTTTATTTTACAAGCAGTGCTCTTTTATATCCTCTAAGCTGGTTGCTTCTCTGTGCATATATTCTAACATTCTACTTTTGCCCAATCCACTCTCACATCACACATCATTCAGCCAATACAATTGTTGATCACGCACTGTTCATGCTCTGGGAAAAGCCAGGATGTTTGCCACCCCTTATCTTGTTTGCTCGGATCTTCTCAGGATTCTTCTGTCTCCTCAAGGGTAC